CAAGAGTGCACCCCCTTTTCCAATTGGTTAAGGGTCTTGGGATACTTGGGGTTAAGCGTCTTTGGGTTTGAATAGTACTGGGCTGGGTGACCTCCCGGGAAGTCCAAACTCATGAGCTAACACATACTTTCCTACAAGTTCATACCTTCGTGAATGAAAGCTAAGAATTGCAACTCTTTTGAGAGCCCTTAGCCCTAAATATCCCAAAACCCTTAACTAATTAAAAAAGAGGGTCCACTTTTATTCATGAGCCCTTTCCCTTTGTATTTTAACCCCTACCTTTGAATCATCTCTCAAGTTATTCTCTTTGGTTACTTACATATGAGAATACTTATGAGAAGTAAGTTCTAGGCATAGATCTGTGGTGATAAATTTGCTTCTATTCCAGCCTCATATTTTTATAGGAAATGAAAACAAACAAAATTTTCGAGATAGTGTTGACTATATTGCTACAACACTGATGCCAACCATATGAAGCAACTTAAAGACACTATAGTGATAAGACCTTATGCAATACCTCAAGAATGGTCGATTGCTAATAAGGTCGCATTCATATAAGATAAGATTAAAAACCTTGAGAAATCTAGTTTTAATCTAGAGAGGAGGAAAGTTGGAAACATAAATGATAAAACTAACACTATTCCCACAGAAATGCACAAAAGACTAGCAAGAAAAAGGTAAACCATCTCTAAGTAAAAGCATGGTAAAATGAGTTCTCCTAAAATGCTAGAGTGTGAGATTCTCTTTATAAAATATATTATTGCACTAGCAAAGGAGTACATTGTGAAAATAAATAGATAGTACATAATTGATATATAAAACCTTTTTTCTTACACATATCTAGACTATGAAGTGCGAAAAACATGGGAAGGCATATGCTCCTTGAAGGCATATACTACATCTTCGTCAACATCTTACATCAAGATCCTAAAGTGAATATTCATATACACTAAATAATCCTTACTAATGTTGAATTGCAAAAATTTTTTATGTAAACTCATGAATTTGGACTTCCTAAAAGATCATCCAACCTAGTATTACTCAAACCTAAAGACAATTAACCCTAAGTATTCTAACACCCTTAATCGATTGAAAAATAAAGTGCATTTTTGTTCATAAGCTCTTTCCCTCTATATTTAAACCCCTATATAAACAACTATTCTACTTTAATCACTTAACCACACCTTTGACTATTTTGGAAGAATCTCAATTACAACCTCCATAAGCCTTATTCTCGACTTAAAGACATGCTAGCCTTGTGGATGGCATTTATGCCACTCAACCTTTGCACTTGGTCCAGGTGCTCTATATATCCAATCCCAAGATAGACACCCCAAAGATACTATCAACATATCAGCCTATTACGCTAAGGCCATGTCCATTTACTTTTGTCTCATTGGTAGTCCTAGACCACTTATGCCATCTTTTAAAGACTGGGCTATTTGTTTATGAGTGGTTATCCTAAGACCACACTTTAGCATCCTAAAAATGTTCGGAGACATGGGGAACAACTTTCCCCAATATTCCTTCTTCAGTCCTCACCAAGTCCCTCTCTATCCACAATTGTATTTGCCAACACTGCCACTGGGTCAAGCCTGAAGGCCCAACCACTAAGTCCTATTGATCTTTGGGACTTCCTTGTTGCTTGACCATATCTTTGGTCACTACACAAGAGGATTGTTCTTCTTCCTTTCCATAGTCCAAGACTTTGGGATGATATTTCGAAACACCACAACCCTACATGAACTTCATGGGTACTCTCCCCACTTTCTGCCCTTAGGTGCCTTAACCATATGCCTAGAGCGAAGTTCTATTGAGCCATACCAAATATCCAAGTAGTGCCACCCACACTTGGATTGGGAGTATTAACCATTTAATCTCTGGGGGAACTAGAGTCGGCTCTTCAACACTTCACCAAGCTACTCTACATATTTGTCCATATTCACTTTAGCTTTAGATTCTTCAATAGTTATACCATCACCCACCACACAAATGTAGCCTTCTTGGGTCACATTAGCCTTTTCTAGCTAATCTGATTCCACTAAGAGTCCAACCCCCACACTTTCCCTACTATACTTTTGAAACCCCCTACAACCCCTCCCCCTTGGGGGATAATCGCTTTAGGCTCTCACCCACAGCCTGTATTAGTATTCAAAGTCGATCTCAAACTCAGACTCGAACTAGATTTCGGTCTTGGACTTGGACTCAGACTCAAACTCGGTCTTAGACTAGGACTCGGCTTGGTCTCAATCTCGGACTTAGACTTCGTCTTAGTCTTGATCTTGGTCTCAGTTTCAATTTTGGTCTCGGTCTCAGATTCCATCTCAAACTCCATCTCAAGTCCATCTTGAGTCCATCTTAGACTCCATCTCGAACTCCATCTTGGGTTTTATCTTGGGTCCATCTCAGACTCCATTTAGAACTCCATTTCAGACTCTATCTCAGACTCTATCTCAGACTTTATCTCAGGTCCATCTCGAGTCTATCTTAGACTCCATCTTGGACTCCATCTCGGGCTCTATCTCGAGTCTATCTTGGACTCCATCTCAAGCTCTATCTCGGGTCCATTTTAGAGTCCTTCTCGGACTCCATTTTGGGTCCATCTCAGACTTTATCTCGGGTCCATCTTGAGTCCATTTTAGGTCCATCTCAGACTTCATCTTGGGTACATTTTAGACTTGTCCAAACACTTCACATATTATATGTTGGTCCTCTTGTGTCCCTTTTCTAGAGACTCTTTTATTTATCACTTCGAGCTCGTTCCTCAAGCACTTTATTAAGAGTTCCACTCCCACTTTTGACTTTTCAAGTTGGAGCTTTGAGTCCAAATATGTTATGCTTGTTTATCTTCCACTTTAGCCACTACCTCATGACACCCTTTTGGCTCCACTTTAAGGCTTAGGGATTTGTGTCTTACACCCTATAAATCATATCTCAAATCATTATATTTAGTTGTTTACAGTATATTACACTTCTCTACAAGTTCACACCATTGTGAACATAAGTTAAGAGTCGTAACTCTCCTAAAAGCATTGCTCTCTTGATACCCTACTCCTTGAGTCAAACTTAATTAAATCAAACTTAAGACCCCTCTGATACCAAATGTAAACTCTTAAATTTAGACTTTCCAATAAGTTATTTAGCTTAGTACTACTCAAACCCAATAACACTTAACCCTAAATTTCTTAACACCCTTAACTAATTAGAAAAAGAGGTGCACTTTTGTCAGGAGCCCTTTCCTTATATATTTGAACCCTTATGAATGGTTCTCTTTTGATTGCTTATATTTTAGAGGTAGTGAGATTATGTTTATTCTTTATTGAAAATATAAAATTTTATATTTATATAATTACTAGAAAGATATAATTTTAATTTAATATACTTGCAAGTGTTTTCTTCACAATAATGCTCATAATATTCATGTTTATATTCATTGATGAACCTACCTATTTTGGCTCATAGTAAATATTTAAATTCTTGGGTAAGAAATTTCTACCAAAATATTTTGATTTATATAAAATGCAAAGAGATGTTAAAATATAGTATAAAGCTAGATTCACCACTTTAACGTTTGTATTAAATTACATTTAAAATTTGAGCTTAGTTCGCGAGCTCAACTCTTGAACTCGTGAGTTTAAGAGTGATCTACGCTTTATCCCCCAAGATTCCAAGGATACATAGTAATAGTATATCCAAATCTTATTCTATAATCACATGCACTACAATTTCAACTAGTGAAATTTGATTTGATGGGGCCTTTTCCACAGTCAACAACTGATAATGAATATATCATTATTTCTTCTAACTACTTAATTTATTAGGTGAAAATTAGTGCTCTTGTTAGTGTGTTTGAGAGTGTTGTTAAATATTTTCTTTTGGTGTTTTAGCATTCTTACCTAGAGTAGATTCTCTTAATCTATGATCTTGCATTTATGGCTAAAGCATTTCACATTTTAATGTCTTGGTTGAAAATACATCACATTTTTATGAGTGCTTATCATCCATAAATAAATGGTTTGGTAAAATAACTTGTTTGAACCTTCAAATGGATAATTGTAAAGTATGTAAGCTTTTAACATTTATATTTAAAATCACTATATAGCTTTTATATGGTCATTATTCCATATTATTAAAGTTGAGTTTATCTTCGCAATTCTCACAAATTGCCAATATTAAATCCTAAGATCAATATTTGATAACTATTATTCCACTTATTCAAATAGAGTTTATTAAGCACTTAGGGTATATACAAGTGGAAGAACAATGACATTATAACTCTTATCATCATCCATTTATAAAATATGAAGTGAATAACCTAATATTAATCTTATGGTATATAATTTGTCTAAAGGGCTCTTTACCCAATGGAAGAGATTATATCAAATGTTATGGCAAGTTAGATTATAAGTTTACAAGGTTTAATAAAACATTATCTTCCAAAAATCAATAACTAAAATGCTTTATACAAAGGGATCAAGAATAAATTTCAATGCCTCCTTTTCATGTTCCTTTAGATCCAAACCTATTAACAAAAGAACTCTAATTACTTTCTATCCTTCCAAGAAAAAGGGATGATGTGAAGTCTAATTGTATGATTATGATGTTATATATTATTATTAATGTAGTGGGATTTTAATAATTGTTAAATTGGTTTCAACTACACTTTTTTGTATTTATATATTTAATTATTATTATTGGCAGATCTGGCTGCAACACTCACTTGCTGCAAGAACATGTGTAATCATCACTACTCAATCTTAACAAGGATCTGGTGGTTTATCTCTTAAAACAAATTTTTTGCGTTCGTCCTTTGGTCCCTTCATTTGGTTGCTGTCTTGGACCAGTCCATAGATAACTGCAAGCAAGCTTGCTATTAAGAGTTTTTTTTTTTCGCTGTTTTGTTTTGCTTTGTCCTTTCCTGCATAGAAATATAAAGTTTCAGAGCACCCTCCTACAAATCCCATCGCAAGCTATCGACCAGGTTTAAGATAATTTGTCGATTGTTTGCAAATAATTCTGTTATATTGAACTAGAACGAATTTTCTGTCAATAGCTTAACCTCAAGAACGAAAACGACGACAAAAATCCTACTTATCTAATGCGGTTTTGGTACATGTCCATCCACAGCGAAGTTTCTTGTTGCTGCTGGGAGAGCCAACTCCATGCCGTTGAGTTCGGGCTTTGCAATCACTTGGCATCCCAGACGAGACCTGAAAAAACAAAAACAGGAAACAAGAAAACAATTAGTACGAAAAAAGAGTTCAACCACAACAGTAAATAGCTTACGTCTCTGTAAGTCCAAATGCAAGATCAAGCATGTCATTCTCCTCGTCCGATGGCTCCTTGAGCATCCGATAAAACTTCTCATCCTGTGATCCACATACGAATCGCTCAAGAAAAAAGGAAGACGATATACCTTCACAATGACATGACAAGTCGAGCACGCCAATGAGCCCTCGCAAGCACCTGTGATTCTCGTTCCAAGCTAGAGTTTATCGTTTCCAAAGAAAAGGCGAACAGTCCACCTTCAAGCTCGATGTCGTTCTCATGAGCAGCCTCCAACATCGACATCCCAACTGGAACTCGAATCGTCTTCCGATCGCCTTCTTTGGTTATAAAAGTCACCTCGATCCTGCAAAATTCACCACGAAAACTCGAGTAAGCACAAGGCGTTTCAGGAGTTATGAAGAGAAGGAAAAAACATTTGCTGGAAGGAAAGCATAGGATAATACCAACGTTTCTTTGTCTTCTTTGCCATTTGCCTCTGCCTTGGATCGCATCAATACCGCAGTCGATATAGCTGAGGATCTCTGGCCATCTAAGAAACAACAATTCATGGAGAGAAAACCACACATGAGAATTCATTCGTACCTGGTTGTGAAATCCAATCGCGCCTCACACGCTGCGAAACAGAATTTAGCATCGCGTTTTTGGAGCGAAACGCCAGCATTCTCTTACCCGGAATCCATGCGCCTGCCCAAATGCCCGTCTCCACATTGCCACGAGCCCTAACTTAAACCCTAACTCTTTTACTCTGTTTAAACTATTCAGCTTTTACCCTTAAGCTTAGTTTTAAACTGGTACTGAATATTTTAAAATATGCTCTAGATATGCTCACATCCAACGGAATGGATTACTTAAAATTTGTTTGAAAAAATTGCTTTTTTTCACATTTTACTGTGTGCCTCTGTGTCTAGCTTAAACTTCGCTATCCCTTTTTTTTTCTATCTTTTGGGAAGAGGCTTCCCTCTCAGATAATGCTCGAGAAGAGACAATGATCTATCCGGTTGTAAAACGGGAACTTCGTGTCCAGCACCTCTCACGGTCGCAAATGTGAGGCCTTTGTACGTCTGGCTCCATCCAGCTACCTGAAAGAAAAAAAAAAAAAAAAAAAAAAAAGAAGGAAGAAATAAGAAAAACAGAAACAAAGAACTTTCGAGTCACAAGTTTCAGCTGAGAGACGGTTATTTCCTATCACCTGATCCATGTAGTACCACGGGTACCACCGATTCACAATTGGTAGCTTTAGGCTGCGAATCCAGTACCGCGTTCCAGTAACTGGAACCATCGCGTCCTCGTCTCCACTGTGACAAAAGCAGGACAACATGTGTCGATCGGATCGGATAGAACAGAGAGAAAGCTACAGGAAAAGCGGACAGAACAGAGAGAAAGCTAAAGGAAGAGCGAGAAGAAAGAAATCTTTGAGTGGAACGTTACCTGTACACCCATATTCGAAGACCCGCTTTGATGAGTTCTTTGTAGATTGGCAGCACGGAGAAGGCCTTGTCGTGCCAATTCTCGAGAATTCCATAGCTGGAAGTTAACAAAAGTTTGATTTTATAACCTTAGTTCCAAGACATTTGAAGATCAAATGGCTTACTTGCATGGTGTCCATGGATGAGGAACGTTGTTTGGAGTGCCATTTGCGTGAAGTGCTCGTTGGACGTCGGGCCGATTAAAATACTTCTCGGCGTAGCTTGGCGTGCACGGATCAAAACCAGTCTGTCCCATCCAGAGCTTTGAGAGAAAAAAGAAAGCACAAACAAACCGTCAGTGATTCTTTAGATCGTGAAGAAGAAACTGCGTTAAACTATACCGGATTCCAGTGAGGAGCGGTGCGAGAGGATTTCCTGCCAGTGCTGGAGCTCCAGGTAGCCTCGAGACACACGGGAGTGTAGATGCTGTGGAGATCGACGTTGCCAATCTCTTGATTGGATGCGTAGTCCATGATCCTCTGGCACTCGCTAGACAACTCCACGCTCGTAAACTTGCAGTGTCGCTTCATGGTGGTGTATGTCTCGTCGGAGATGAGAGCATGAGTCCAGTAGTAATCCACAATTCCGAGGTTGTCGTAGTACCAGTCCGTGACTGCGTTGCCAACCTGGGCGAGTTAACGAGTTGGCAATCATCGAGGGAATTTTCTCTAGAGAACTTGGTGTTACCATGAAGCCTTTGAGGTTGATGATGGTCTTGGAAGCCGCCTTGTTCCCGTCGTGAACCAGCTTTGCGAGCTGAGGAACATAATGCCCTGGAGAGCAAGGTTGGAGAGGTCAGAAACACTTGGAAGTTTGGAAGTAGAAGAAAAGAAAGCGAGGAACTAACCTGCGTAGCTCTCCCCGAGAATGTAAAACTCTCGACTCTTGTACTGCGGGAACCTCTGGAACCACTTGAGCAAGAAAGAATAAGCATCCTCAGCTGCGAGACGACACTAATAACACAATTGAGTTTAATCCCTCCCACGAGGAAAAACCAAGCGCGAGTCACAGATAATACGAAAGCTCGGCAGCAAAAACAAGCTCACAAGAAAAGTTTCAATGAAAGCAAAGAATCGAACTCATTCGATCGGTTTTTCTCTAAAAACAAAAGAGAGAATCCTCCACAATAAAGAAGAATAGAAAAACGTTACCAGTTCGAGTGTCGCCAAATGCGTCTGTGTCAGTGGTGGTATTGGAATATGAGTAGCCAACACCGGCAGGAGATTCCAGGAAGAGCAAATTCGCCACTGCAAACAACAACAAAAAAAAAACGCGAAAAAAACCAAAGAGAATGAGAGCTAATACCAAAAGAAACTAAAGAGAAAAAAGAGAGACAAGCGTGAGGCGAGCTCATAATCAAACTGCCAAAAGGAAAGCGCAAAAAAAAAAAAGAGAAGAAGAGAGAAGAGGAGATTGAGATTTCAGCTACCACCTCCACATCCAATTATGAAGAGCAGCAGCGAGCAAAAGAAAAAAGAGGAGCTGCCGCGCTGCAAATGCCCACCACCACCATCCACAAATCCAAAAAATCCAGCACCCAAAACAATGCCCAGCAAGCCCAGCGATGCAGCGAAGTGTCCACCACAATCCAAACAAAAAACCCAAGTGGACCACAATCACGAAAGCTTTCCCAAGAACCCTAAAAATGCGAGCGAGAGGAAGGAGAAACAAAGAGGTGGCGGCATTTTGTTTGCCTTTGTTCCATGCGTATGGATTGCTGTAGAGGCCAGTCGCGTTGGCCTTAATACGGAAGGGCCCGATCTCCTCCACCGCACCGTAGGCCAGCGACGAGCATCCCGGCCCTGCGCGATCAGCGATCAAAGCTTTCAATCCAATCGATCGAGATCCAAAAATGGAGAAGGAAGAAGGAATTGAGCAACAAGAGGAGGCAAAGCTTTCCTTTGGAGAGGAGAAATTGAGAAGAAGAAGATGAATCAGATAGAAAAGAAGAGAAGGAAGAGCCTTTTCGATCGATGCTTTGTTTCTTTCTCTTCTTTGCTCACCTCCATTGAGCCACAAGACGAGAGGCTTGCTATGTGGCGAGCGCGCGGTGGATTCCGTGAGCCAGTAGAAGAGGGCGCGCCTTCCATCGCGCGACACGGGAATGTAGCCCGAGAACTGGCGGAGTGGCGGGGTCTTGGGCTGGCCGGGGAGCCTCTCCACTCTGTCCCGCCGCTGCGCCGCCTCCCAATCGAGCTCCTGGGCGGGATCGATCGCGGACGAGCTGGCGAGGACGAGGATCAAGATGGAATGGAGCAGCAGCAGGAGAAGATGAAGAGTCATGCCAGGAAATCCAAGGAATTCAATCGGCCTGATCAAAAGTACCGATCGATTTGGGGAGGAAAAAAGAAAAAGAGAAAAAATCGAGAGCGAGAGAGAGATGTGTGATTTGTATAAGCTTTTCCCAGAATTTGCCAGAGAATGGGTGAAAAGAAACAGGATAGAGACAAGGAGGAGTGAGCAGAGCTCTCAAGAACAGAGATGGTGGATGAGCAATCAAAGAATTAAAATCTCTCCTCCCTCTCTAGCGCAGCTGCTGCCGCCGCTGCTACTCAAGGACATAGCTGCACTGCACAAGAAAACAATGCCTTTCTTTTTGGGAGAGGATTGATTGATTGGTTCTTCCTCCTCTCTTTGCCAGAAATCTAGAACTAGTAGCTACATGTTCCCGGGGGGAGGGAGATCTTTTCTTGAGCGTTTTGGTTTCTTTCCTTGTTCTTTTTATTTTTGATTTTCTTTGAAGAGCCAGGAACTCTGGGCATAGCCTATCTGGAGACAGTGAAGTAGTAAAAACTAGCAGCAGGGTGTGGATGATGGATGAATGGATGGATCAAAAGAGAGTGGCTATGTAGCCCTTTTATATAAATGCGCCACACACACACACACACACTCTCTCTCTCTCTCACAGAGAAGATGCACTGCTCCAACACAGAAAGGGGGATTGATTCCAATGAATTAAATTTCAAGCATTGTCACAGAATGGAACTTGTGATCAGAGATTTTTCAAAAGTTTTCATGGTCTGGACTGGACTGGAGGGATTGATTGCAAAGTTACCTTCTACAAACCATGGCAAACGGTATGGCGGCAAACCATTAAATTGGAAGGAAACTCAAAGCTTGGTTCCTCATAAAGGCAGCCGCCAAAACGGATTTAAAGGCGGAGAATTCACGGCTATAAGTGGAAAGTGATGCGAGTAAACAGTATAACTTGCCCAAAAGGGATTGACCTAAATGCGCGAGGGTGGCGGGCTATAGCCTCCGGGGTATTTGTTCCCGCGACAGGGATGGGCGAGGAACTGCAAATGCCATGAATGGGCAAATGTACCCTTTCTAACAGTGATGCATGGATGTGATATTTTGACGTGGAGATTTGCTCTTGCGAACTCCATATAGTAAAGCATGGAAATATCACACTCAGATACTTACGCTTTCGAAAACGGGCTCGGTCTTTGGAGGCGCTTCAAGAGAGCGTGCGAGTGAAATTTTTCAATCCCTGGCCAGTTCGTGTGGAAAAGACGTCCCGAGGCCACAGGGGAATATAAAATATTCCCACTAAAACATTATTATTATTATTATTGTTATTAAATTATAGACAATATCTATAAGATTCCCGGAGATTCTCTCGCCACCTTTCTTTCCAGTGTCCAAATGATGGGCGACGAGTGCTACTGTTTTCTAGCTGACGCCAATCATACGCTCTGTTCATGTTAACCAGAAACCCAGAGAAAAAAACATTATGAGAGAGAGAGAGAGAGAGAGAGAATCATGTCCTAATGAGAACTATCGAGCACTAGCGAGTGCTCGAGAAACAAACAATTCCCCGGGAATCGTTTTCTAAACACCTTTGAATCGTCCAGTCTCTTTAGCTAGAGGGCGCGGACGAAGAAATCTGCCAAGCCAAAGTATCATGCCACATAAATGAGTTTCTTCCTGGCAGTGGTGGATTGAACCCTCCAGAAGTATAAAAAGGAAGAATGGAATTTAAAACGAAAACTTACAATCCCTGCAAGTTGGCTTGATCATTCGTACTTTCGCACCTTGCCTTGAAAGCTTTGGGGATGGCTGGAGTCAATTCCTGTGGAGCAAACATAAAGCATGAGTGACTTCTTAAAAACTGTAGAGACTTTGAAACGGCCTGCCTAGAGCTTCGTACCTTGAAAGCAAAAGGAAACCGGTCTGGTATTTCTTTGTTGCATAGGCTCGCGAGTCCGCTAACGAATTCCTTGTGGGCTTTGTTTGTTTCGTACGGCACCGAGCACCAAGTTGACGAGAACCTCGAGTGGAATGACGAATAACACGGGCCAAAAGTTGTTTGAAATTGCGAGTGAGGGGCCACATCTTCCCCTGTAAATACACTTCTTTAGCTGTTGATCCAGCTTAGATCACTTTACTCTCCTTAGCAAGGGAAAGGAAAAGAAAAAAAATCCACTGTAAACTTCTTACCTCGATGTGAAAAGAGAAAGAAGCGCATCTTGCAACTCTGTCAACTTCCTTAAGAGGAACGCAAATGTTAGTAACCTCACATATTGAGAATGAAATCTTCTCACCCTGGATGTGGATGTCAATCCAGTGACAAAGAGTCCATTTTGGTAGTCATCCTTCTTAACAGCTCGGCTGCCTCTTCTCCCCTTCCCTGTCCTCGCAAAGCCAAGTAGAGCTTCCTACACTTGAGATCATCGATCTCGCAATCGCTGGAAGCCATCTCCTCGAGCACCTGGAGCGCTTCTTTCCCGCGGCCTTGGCCACACAGGCCATAGATGAGCACAGTGTACGAGACCGAGCTAGCCACGATCCCGCGCACTGCCATCTCGTCAAACAGCTCCCATGCCTTGTCCACTTTGTCGAGCTTGCACAGGCAAGTTATCACCATGTTGTACGTGATGACGCTCGGAGAGCAGCCCCGCTGGACCATTAGCCCCAGTAACGTCAAAGCTTCGTCCAGCCTCTTGGTCTTGGTGAAAGCGTCGATCAGGAGGTTGAAAGTGTGCGACGTGATGCACAGTCCTTTCACTGCCACCATCTCCCTGGCCAGCTTGCTGGCTCTGTCCAGCTGCTCGGCCTTGCACAGGCCGATTATCACCGTCGTGTAGCTTACTTCGTCTCTGAGCGTGTCCATCTCTGACAGCAGCGACGAGGCCTCGTCCAGCCTTCCTTCCTTGCAGAGCCTGTCGATAAAGATGTTGTAAGTCACTGTGTTGGCTTCCACACCGTGGCCGGTCATGTGGTCCATGAGAAGCAGCGCTTGCTTGAGACAACCCTCCTTGCAAAGCCTGTCGATGATAGTGTTGTAAGTTGTGCAGGCACTCACGACGCAGCCGTTTCTCAGCATCTCGTGCATCAGCTCGTACGCATCCCCCAGCCGGTTCGTCTGGCTGAGACCACTGATCAGAGTGTTGTAAGTCACGTTGTCTGGATCCACCCCTGCCTTGATCATGTTTTTCAGGATACCCACGGCGTCGTCAAAGCGTTCTTCTTTGCAGAACTGGGCCATCAGAGTGTTGTACGTGACAGCGTCAGGTGGAATGCCCGCTTGGATCATCTGGTCCAAGACTTGACGAGCTTCTTTCGGCTTGCTCGCCTTGAACAGTCCGTCGATGATGATGTTGTACGAGACCACGTCCGGAACACATCCGGCCGAGTGCATGCTCTCGAGGAAAGGAAACGCCTCGTCAACTTTGCCATGCTTGCAGAGCCCGTCCATGACGATGTTGTAAGTCTTTATGTTCGGGACGCAGCCTCGGCAGGCCATATCTTCGAAAACGTTGGGGATCTCGTCCAGCCGGCCTTCTTTGCAGTAGCCATCCATCAAGGCATTGTACACATCAATATACGGCGTGCCTCGGATCCCATCCACGACTTTCTGAGCTTCTTTCGTCCTGCTTGATTTGCAGTAGCCATTCACTAGGCTCACATAAGCCAGAGCATCTGCAGTGCAGTCCTTGCTCACCATCTCTTTGAAAATGTGATGAGCCTCGTCAACCCGGCCTGTCCTACACAAGCCTTCCATGAGAGCTGTGTAAGTGATGACGCTGGGTGTGCAACCCCGCTTTAGCATCCCTTCTACCATCTTCAGAGCTTTGTCCAGCCTGCCTTCCTTGCAAAGCCCGTCCACAATGATCGTGTAAGTCACTACGTCCGGGACGAAACCCGAAGAGACTAAACTCTCCAGTAGCTCGTAAGCCTTCTCCGTCTTGCTTGCCTTGCAAAGCCCGTCTATGAGAGTGTTGTAAGTCACTAGATTGGGAGTGCATCCTTTTCCAGACATCTCCTTCACCAGCTCGAAGGCCTCGTCGATCCTTCCCCTCTTGCACAGCCCATCGGCGAGAATGGAGTAAGTGACCACGTCTGGAACGAATCCGCTGCTTACGAACTCATCCACCAGATCTTTCGCCCTGTCAACGTTTTGCTGCTTGCACAGGCCGCTGATGAGTGTGTTGTAAGTGCAGCAACTTGGACGGCAGTTCCTCTCGGCCATCACAGCCAGCAAGCTGTGAGCACGCTCAAACTTTCCAGCCTTGCAGAGCCCGTCCATGATAGAGTTGAAAGTCACTGTATCGGGAGTGACTCCTCTGTCCACCATTTCATGGAGCATCTCCGACGCCTTGTCGGTCTTGGACGCTTTGCAAAGCCCGTCGATGAGAATGTTATACGTGAAAACGTCCGGTGCCACCTTCCTCTCGTTCATCTCTTTGAGAAACTCAAGAGCTCCATCGCAGTCATTCTTCCTGCAGTGCCCATGGATGATAGCGTTGTAAGCAATGGCGTCTGGCGATGGTATGTTCCGGAAGATCTCTAGAGCGTCCTTGAGCCGGCCAGTTTTGCAAAAAGCTCTGGTGAGTATCGTGTAAACCGAGACCTCTGGCTTGAATCCTCGAACTTTTGCCTTGTCTAGCATCGTGAAAGCCTTGTCAATTTGGTTCATCTGGCACAAGCTCTTGATGACGAGATGATACGTGTAGGAATCCGGGGCATAGCCAGCATCCAGCATCCTCTCAAACATCGCTGGAATGCGATCGCTGGAGCCATTCTCGAGTAGAGTCTGGAGGAAGCAGTTCCTGGTAAACGTGCTGTGCTTGAATCCCCTATCCCCGGCCCACACGAAGAAGACGATGGCGGTCTGTGGATCCTTGAGCCGCTGCAATACCCTAGACACCACCGCGGGCTGGAGAGTCCCTCGCCATTGCTCGAGGCGCTCACGGATATTACTGCCTGATTGGAGGAGCCCGAGGAGGTCGAGCACGTCCTGCTGCAAGCTCTCGGATCTAGCGAGCTTCCTCGCTGTCGACAAATGGAGCTGCCTGTGAGGAATGCCGCTGGACTTTCCATCAGTGCTTACCTGAATCGACGCTGGCGACGCTGGCGACGCCGCCGCCTCGGCGCATCGATTTCTTGCCGTAGAGAAGCTGGGAGAAACGTATTGGAGCAACGCGCACGCCATCGCTCCTTGCTTCTCATCCACATCCTGACATTCCCGCAAGAACCCTACCTATGACATGGCTGACATGGACAAAAATATCCTGCGTGGCACGTGACATGGACAAAATCAAATTAGATTTTAAACGTTTGAATTCTAGGTCAAGTGTGCTTCTTTCGCGCGGTAAAGATGGCCCCCAGTCGGGCGAGGAGCCTGAGCTTCTTCTTCTTGATTTCCGCGCTCTCCACCACGATTTGCTCCAGATTTTTCGATCTGACCCCACTAGCGTCGGGCAATTTGATCTGGAGCACCTGAGCGAGCGATTCCCCGGACGATCGCCGCCCCTCCTCGATCGTTGCCGACCGTGCAATCTCGCGAGAGCTCGACGAGAATCTCCTCCCATTCCCGTCATTCTTGGCCTCCGGATGAGCGATCGAGACGCTCGACGCCAAGATCGTAGCTGGAGAAGCATCGCCATTGCGCTGTGGAACCGGCGTAGCGGCGGTGAGATTGGCCACCATCGCCATCCTCCTGCGCTGCTCGTTCTCTGACCGCCATCGCCGGAGCTCGCCCTCCACCGCCGACTTGGCCGCCTCGGCGATGGCGGCCTTCTCGTTCGCCTGCTTGAGATCCACCCGCGTCTCCTCGATCTCCGCCCTCGCCGTCTCCAAGCTCCTCTTGAGCTCCTCCTCTCGCGCCCGCGCGCTCGCTTCCTCGGCGCTCGCCTCGCGCAATCTCCCAGCCGTCTCCTCCTCGAGCATCGATTCCTTCGATTCGGCACGATCGTCGTCCTGCCGGATCGACTTCATGGCGCGGGCCTCGGATTCCTTGGCCGCCAGCGCCTCCTGCGTAAGATCTTCCACGCGCTTCTCGCTCGCCATGGTCGCGAGCTTGAGCTCCCAGGCCTCGTTCCTCATCCTCGCCACCTCCTCGCTCACTCCAGCCCTAACGACCTCCGCCTCGATGGCTTCAGCCGACACGAGCTCGTAGCCCTCCAGCATCCCCGCCGCGCTCGCCATCGCCTTGGATTCCAAGCTCGACACCGCCTCGATCTTAGCCTTGATCTTCTCGATCGCCACAGCCGGATTCTCTTCTTCTCCCTCTCCTCGATCTCTCTGGAGGGACTCGTGCTCCAGCTTGGTGCTCTCCAGCTCCGTCTCCAGGTAGCGCGTCGTCGCCTGGAGCGTGATCTTCTCATCCTCCACCGCTTTGATCGCTGCCTCCACCCGGCTGATCTCTGCCGCCGCGTCCCCCACCTCCGCCATAGCTCTCGACTCGGAGCTCCTCAATCGATCCAGCTCCTCCTTCGCGATCCTCAGCTCCTCTGCGAGCTCTCCCACCTGTGACGTTAGCCTCTCCACCTCAGTGCTTAGATCTCCCGCCTTGGCCATGGAACTCTTCTCGCGATCCCTGGCCGCTTCCAGCTCCATGCTCAGCGATTCAATCGTCTTGCTGCTCTCGCCAACTTTATGATCTTCCAGATCTTGGATCCTCTCCCGCGAGGCTTCCAGATCTTGCGTCGTCCTCTCGTAGAGCTTCTGGAGATCTTCTCGCTCCTCACTTCCCATGGATTCTGGGATTGACAATGCCATCTCCAGCTTCTTGCTAAGTTGCTCGTAGCTCTCCTTGAGCTTCGCGAGCTCTTGCTCCACCTCGCGCTTATCCAATTCCATCTTATCCTTGGCCGCCATGGCTTCCACCAGCTGCTCCTTCAAAGCTCCAATGGGACTTTCATACGCACGCTTCTGCCATAGTTTTTTTTTTTTCCTCTCTCTCTCTCGTAAAAACAAAGCTCGAGTAAAAACATACCTCTGCCGAGTTTTTTACTCCAGGAAGATGGTCAAACCGATGAATGGCCTCTTTCACATCGGTGTAAGGCTTGGAAGTATCGACTTCGCCTCGTTTCTGTGGAGAAGGGGTGGATTCCGCCATAGCTGGATACACGAGAATTAAAACCGGCGAGAGAGAGAGAGAGAGAGAGAGTAGAGTCTTACCAGTTAATGGGTTTTTTACATTCGCCTGTGGTAAGCACTGAAGCTATTCGCTAAATCCCTGAGACCCTTGGCAACCATAGCCAGCGCTTAATCCTTAAAAGCCCAAGTCGAAAAAAAGGGTCCCTCGATTCGGCAAAGGCTAACAATAAAAAAAGGAGAAATTTTCGACCTAGCGCGAGAGGAAGAGAGATATGGAATGGGCCGAGAGAGAGTGTGGAAAACGCTACATGGAAGAACAAAGCGCTATTATTTCTCTGTCGCCCAGAGACAATGGTGGATTTAGATTAGCGGGGGTTGCTTATTTTTAATAATCGTGTGGCCCAGTCCTGGATTTGAACCCCTGACGTTCCAACAGCGCAGCACAGGCTGTTCTATTTGCAACGAGACTGTAATAGCTATAGACTACAGCCAGCACGAATGAGACCTGGAGGGGCGAATCTCATTTATATTCCTTTGGATATGCTCTAACAATGTCCATCCTATCCATCTCGATATTCTAGCCTATGATAGAATGTAGTATGTCTACAAACTACATTCTATCATAGACTAGACTGTAGTATGCCTACAAGAAAACAAGTTAGAACTGAAAAACCGTAGAAAAAACGCAAAAAAATTGGAAAAAATAACGTTCTTTTTTTTTTTGGTTTTCTTTTTTCGGCCCGTATCTGTCCGCAAAGCAAGACTCGTGCAGTGCAGTCATCAGAAGCCAAGCGCTGTTGGAGCTTCAGCTGTTGGAGCTTCAAAGAAAAAGGAGACCAAGTTACTTGATTGGAGTCCCGGAACGAAAGCTCCCCAGAGAAAGAAGTAAAACTCTAGAGAGATTTTTGGAGTACCTCGCGATGGCGGGATTCTAGTGCTGGGAAGAACTTTTGGAAAACGTCCTCACGCCCTCCAGCGAGGGCTCGGAGTTCCCCCTCTTTCAGATCCATCGACGGGGTCTGTGAGAGTAGCGGAGCGTCACAGGGCTTCGATGAAGTTGTCTGTGCTCGCCTTTTCATTTCCTCCTCGTTTGTAAGGAGAGTTGAAGAAGAAAGAAATTGTCTTTGTTTGTAAACTACTTCGTGGGTTCATTCTCTACAAAACTTAAACAAGATAGAAGACTTACATGACTTGGACCTGTTGTGGATCCAAATCCAAGCTCCCGTCCCTGAGCGGGACATTCCCACTGCTAGCCGCCCCGTCCCTGAGCGGGCTTAAGAAACACCCATCGACGCGAGAACCCTAGATTCACACTAGGGTAGTATAGAATCATATGAGTTTGTGGAAAACCGCTTTTCATTCGGTTTAGAGCCGGAAGCCTTAGTTAAACAGATCATAGCAGTCCTCTCGACTGAGTTGAAACAAGTGACCGTGGTTTCGTCGATGAGGTGGCACAGCGATCTCTCATCGTCGCGTAGTCCAAACCGCCACTCCTGCGAAGAAATGAGAAACGCGGCAGAGGAAAGGTTGGCCATCTTTTACGGATTTTTTTTTATCGATGTGCCATTTGTGTGGCTTCTCGTCCTGACAGAAAGGCCGAGCAGAGAACAAAGAAAAGCGTGAAAGAAAGAGGAACATTTGAAGCCGTTGACGACTCCAAGCAGCTCGAGAACACAGATAAATAATGATACATGTTTTTCATGTTTGTTAGTGCCCATTTAGAGGCATTGGGAAACAAGAATCAAACTGGGCTCCAATACCAATGTTAAGATCCTATCCATGCACACATTCATGCAAAGGATGGTGGCATGAATGCCAGACATGGATTGAGATGCACAACCTACATCAACTGTCCTGGGCATGGACATGTATGCTTCAAGGGCTGAGAGGAGAGCCAAATTCCACGACACATCAATTTCATACCACTTGAAAAATCTTTGACCACTTATAGACCCTTATTTGAAATTGGATGCAAGTGACCGCTCAAACTCAAGGACATTACCTACATCATGTAAGCCATAAATTTTCCTCACCACTACTGCCTTGGCTGTGACTTTGTGGTGGAAGTTGAGGGCTACAACTATATATCAATAAGTGGCCATCCAAAATAAAAACTAAGTAAAAACATGCATGTATTGTATACTTGAATCCATCAGACTCATGCTTCACTGCCAGACTATGTAAACATTGTATAATTGAATGAATTCTCAGCTTGCCTCCATCCCTCCCTACTTTCCACCAAATGCGTGTTAGTACCAGTACATTAGCCGCATTTGAGGAGTTAAAAGAATCTATTGCTATAGTTCTTTGACCTTACATGGTGAGAATAAATACTTTTCCTTCTCCACCACTTTACAATCCACACTTGGAGTGCTTAGGCATAGAAGGCGAGCTATATGAATTTTTTATCGAGGTCCCAAGCTTTAATTGCCACTGAATAGCAAGGGAAGTTCACATTTTTTTTATCACAATGAATGGCAACACTCCTCAAGTGTGTCTTTTGCACAAGCAGAAACACATTTGCATGACTTTCATAAGCATACTTCATTTGGCCTTGCACTGAGTAAGGTTATATTTAAGTGTAGCAAGTTTTTTATTCTTTGCTCCTCTTTATCACTTTTTCAAGTTATAAATTGAAGCAGCTTATTTACTAATCCATTTGTTCAGAAAACTTAATAATTAATTGCTTTTAGTGTTTTTCTAGCCCAATACAATAATTATCATTTCTTCAATTTTGGAATAAGATTTTTCATCAATATGCTCAATTGTATGTATTTGATGATGAAATATAATTTTGTATGCCATAACACCCTAATGTCCATAAGATATTAAAATTAGTTTAATAATAATTTTGGTAGTCTGTTATGTGTCAACTTTGTTTGTTATGTATCAATAGATCAAAATGCCTTAATATGTTTTATTTGTTCATTTCCAACCCCTTTCTTTTGTTCCAAGGCTTTTTATGAATTTTTTTTTGACCTTCAACAGTTTCAAGGATTTAATAGTGTTTTTATTGTGGCTAACTAATTTTTTAAAATGACACATTTCTTACTATTTCACAAGAATATTGATGAAGAGTGGCTACTTGAGGTTATTTATAAGTGAATTTTCACCTTCAAAATAATATTATCAATAATTAAGGATTTTAATTTATTTCCACTTTTTAACACTAGTTTACTTCCTTCTTTTGCACTAAAAAAATTGTCAAACTTCTCACCATCCTCAGATTGCTAGGCAATTAAAATGTACTATTCAAACTCTTAAGCAATATATTTAATATGTTATTTCCCATTAACAAGATATTCATGATATCTTTCCTTCTACTAAGTTTATTTATAATAATTTTTAGCACTCTTTAATATATCTCTCTTCATTATTCATCAGCTATAGCCTTTATTCTCGTTAGTTATATTTATGTTTTCTAACACCTAGTCTATGCCATTACTTTGGATTTTATTTTCATCATCACCTTTACTAAGTTGTTTATTATTGTACTATTAATTATTCTTATCAACCTATTTTTCCAGTTTTATCAAAAGTTTAATTTCTTTATCATTAATGCAAGACTCCAAACCCCCTTACCCCTTTGAAAAAGAAAAAATTTCATAAGCATACTTCATTTGGCCTTGCACTAAGTAAGGTTATATTTAAGTGTAGCAAGTTTTTTATTCTTTGCTCCTCTTTATCACTTTTTCAAGTTATAAATTGAAGCAGCTTATTTACTAATCCATTTGTTCAGAAAACTTAATAATTAATTGCTTTTAGTGTTTTTCTAGCCCAATACAATAATTATCATTTCTTCAATTTTGGAATAAGATTTTTCATCAATATGCTCAATTGTATGTATTTGATGATGAAATATAATTTTGTATGCCATAACACCCTAGTGTCCATAAGATATTAAAATTAGTTTAATGATAATTTTGGTAGTCTGTTATGTGTCAACTTTGTTTGTTATGTATCAATAGATCAAAATGCCTTAATATGTTTTATTTGTTCATTTCCAACCCCTTTCTTTTGTTCCAAGGCTTTTTATGAATTTTTTTTTGACCTTCAACAGTTTCAAGGATTTAATAGTGTTTTTATTGTGGCTAACTAATTTTTTAAAATGACACATTTCTTACTATTTCACAAGAATATTGATGAAGAGTGGCTACTTGAGGTTATTTATAAGTGAATTTTCACCTTCAAAATAATATTATCAATAATTAAGGATTTTAATTTATTTCCACTTTTTAACACTAGTTTACTTCCTTCTTTTGCACTAAAAAAATTGTCAAACTTCTCACCATCCTCAGATTGCTAGGCAATTAAAATGTACTATTCAAACTCTTAAGCAATATATTTAATATGTTATTTCCCATTAACAAGATATTCATGATATCTTTCCTTCTACTAAGTTTATTTATAATAATTTTTAGCACTCTTTAATATATCTCTCTTCATTATTCATCAGCTATAGCCTTTATTCTCGTTAGTTATATTTATGTTTTCTAACACCTAGTCTATGCCATTACTTTGGATTTTATTTTCATCATCACCTTTACTAAGTTGTTTATTATTGTACTATTAATTATTCTTATCAACCTATTTTTCCAGTTTTATCAAAAGTTTAATTTCTTTATCATTAATGCAAGACTCCAAACCCCCTTACCCCTTTGAAAAAGAAAAAATTTGAAATGTTAAGGCAGAGAGGAGAAAGAAAAAAAAAAAAGGATGAAACATTGTCGAAGAAGAAAAATGGATAAAGAAGCATCAGAAGAGGAATTTTCAGAAAATTTTAAAAACCTTGCAATATATGTTTGAATTTATAAAACTAGCTTTATTTCTAATTAAATTCGAAAAACTATATAAAATCAATTGTAACTCAGCAAAGGGCTGAAAAGTATAACTGTAGATCACAAGTTGGTACAATTGTCCTTAAAACTTTTGCCAGCTAACCTCTACTACTTCCCCACACTGCCTTGGCTTGGTTATGACTTTGTGGTGGAAGTAGAGTATGTTGGTTGTTGTCTTGGTAATCAACCGAACCAGTTTTAGAGCCTAGTTTCAGTCCGTAAGTGGCTAAGGATTTTAAAGTGGTAATTATATATTGGCAATCCAGCTGGAATTGATCTGTCATGGAATTTAGCTCTGCGGTCAATTCCTGGAGTCTGTCAACGACTTGAAATGTTCCTCAAGGTTTTGTCTTTCTTTCAAGACAACATTTGCGGATACTATAAATTAATCACTGCCCTAAATATGTTGTGCGTTCTAGGGCACGATGAAGCTCTGTCTCTACAAATCGGGGGTTCACAAGATTCTGGGGCTCCCGCGCCGATGGGTGCTTCCCAAGCCCTCCATCAGCTTGCCGGCTTTCAAGAAGGCGCTGGAGCTCCGAGACAAGGCGCTGGCAGCCACAGCAGCGGCCGTGGCGGTGGCTAGCAGTGCGCATGAGGAATGCAGCGATGAGAGCTCCAGGAAGAGGAAGAGGGTCGACGCCACAGACGAGGAGGAAGCTCCAGCCAAGCAAATTTGCGTCGCCGACGATAAGGAAGCATTTGGAGAACAGGATAGCTCGGATTTGGATCCACAACAGCAGGCTCCTCCAGAGGTCCAACCAAAGGAGGATACTAGTCATGTAAGTTCTTGTTTTACTTTGGATCTTTGCTCTCTCGTATGAAATTTTTTCTTGTTTGTCCAGAACGTAGAGAAGGGATCCACGTCCGCTGTCGATCCCGTGCTCCAGGAGCGAGCCAAGCGCAAAGAAGAACTCGAGGAGAAACTTAAGACACTAACTTCAGAGAAACACCGTCTTGTTCAGCTCTTAAAACAGGCAAGTGTTCTAAGTCTTTTTACAAAGTTTCTTCTTCAACTTAACTGCAGATCCTTACAAACGAGGAGGAAATGAAAAGGCGAGCACAGACAACTTCATCGCGGCCTTGTGACGCTCCGCTACTCTCACAGACCCCGGCTGCTCGGCCGATGGATCTGGAAGAGGGGGAGCTCGAGTACGCGAGAAGTCCGAGCCCTCGCTTAGCGAGGACGTGATCCAGCACTAGAACCGTACGCCATCGCCAGTGAAACGAGTTACTTCTCCAGAGTTCTCTCGGGAGGACTCCAATCAATTGCTCCTTTTTCTTCGAGGCTACAACAGCGCACTGCACAAGTCTTGGGGACAGACACGGGCCGAAAACAGAAACAAGAGAAAAAAAAACGCTTTTCTTTTCCATGTTGATCAACCAACAGGACGTGTCCATCACTCTTTTGTGAGTAAGTAGACATCTCTCTCTCTCTTGTAAAAAGCCATGCTATAAAGTACTCTCCTCACTCGCTGTCACTCGAAATGCTCTTAAGATCCTCCATTCGACGAATGGGCATGAGTTCTGCATTCACATCTATCCGAAGCCCTAGGTTTTCTGGGGAGATTGCTTATTCTAAGCAAGCTTGAGGCTGTTGTTGCCAACTTGAGCTTCAATGGCCTGCCCTACTCCCACTTATGTGCTTGTGATGAACTAAAAACGATAGTAAATGGTAGTAAACACATGGATATGGATATTTTAAGGAGAATTTTTCTAAAAGTTTTATTCTACATTCCAAGTCTTTCAGTAAGTCTCTTCATTTGGTAGTTAACTATTGCAAGTTAAACAAAATCATAATTCCTAATTGATATCCTTAGACAAGCTAAAAACAATAGTTTCTTGACATTCTTGTACTGCCACTTTTGCCCAATAAAGAGTTTGGATAGTGTCACAAGACTAGAGCCTTCCATAACAATACAATCTCCATAATTTTCCAGCTCTTGCAAGCCATTGCATTTGAGCTGCAATTCATGGCATGGCGTTGCCAGCAACTTGTCAGTCTCAAATGCATATTGCCAGCGACTTTGTGAGAGAGGAAGACTAGATTACCACTGGCGATTTCAAACTGTTGCCCTCAACAAGGATGTCATATCATTCAATGTCACACTTGAGAGTCTTGGAAACCATTCAAAATCTCCTAGAAACCAAAAACTTCAAATGCTGATAAGCCCCATAATGAATCTCTAAATTTGTCAAGTTTTGAGCAATCAATGTAATCCACAATTAACTTCTGCAAATGCTTCTAGCTTTACTAGTGAAAGATTGTAGATATGACCAAATGGTGGTGATTTCCCTTTTATAAAATTGATAGAACAATTATAAAGTTAATGTGGTGCTAAAATATTAGCTTTCTTTTTGTCAAAAACATCCTTAAAGCTGGCATATTTGGAGGGAAGTATGGATTTCATCTCAATAAATAAAGTTGATGTTGGATGAATAGCAATTACAAAGATAAAATCAAAATCCTAATAACTAATATCTCAAAATTTATGTAAAAGAAATGCGAGAAATTTGGATTGAAGAATAAAAAAAAGAGTGTAAAACACAAATCCTTAAATCCTAAAGTGGAATTGACAGTGTTCCTCATAGTAGTGGTTGAAGCAAAAGTCTAAAGAGTATAATATGTTTAGACCAAAAACTCTAACTTAAAAAATTGAAGTGTTTGAGGAATGAGCACGAAGTGACGATAAGTCCTTTATCATTAAAAAATCACAAAAAAAAAGACTAACATGTGGCAAGTGTTATGATATATAAAAGTATTGATACCAAAGTTTTAGAACCTAAAGGCTCGAAGCAAGGTACTCAAGAAACCAAATATCCAAAATATTGAGCATATTTGGAGCCAAATATATCCTAGGCTAGATATATTTAGAATGAAACATATCTAGGGGTAGGGTGTGATTGTCTCCCAAACCTTAGGGAATTTGGTAAGTCCTTATTAAATAGTAAGAGGGAAGGAATTAATATAATTAACAAAGGTTATAACCATATGGTGATGATGATATAAACATTAGGGAGTCTAATAGTAAAGTGAATGTAGATGGACAAATAAAGTGATTTGGTGAAATAATTAAAAAATCAACTTTAGCTTCTGTAGCACATGGGATCATGGGATGAGATTTAAATATACTGTTATTATAAATTTTTGAAACCTTAGGAAATAATATGGATAAAATAGCCATAAAGGGCTTTCTCATTAAGCAATTGTTTCTTTTCTAGTTGGCTAAAGATAAAATGTGTTATATGTGATATTGGAGCAAATGATATGGGTTTAATTCTTATTGAATATATATTTAAAATATAATATACCCTTGAGTAAAGTATATTTTTTATTTTAATTTAAAATCATACATATTAGGCATGTTCACAAATGAAAGGATCCATTGTGGAATTACAGTACGGATGGATGATTAATTAGTCTACACAATGGTAGATTGGCAACTAATCATTCATTCATACTATAGTTCTATGGTGGAGTCTGCATTAAATCTACCAATCCGTTAGTCTGGAGCTTCACACCCCTATTTCCACACTAAATCTACCAAGCAATGGCTATGGATGGTTGATGTCAAAACCTGACACAGCTTTGCTTTGGTTCCTCTTGGCTCAGCAGAGGTTATTAGTTAATAATTAATAAAGATGTTTATATATTAAAGCTTGACTTAGTGGTTGTTAGTGAGCACTACCATGATTATAGTGGGATTTGGACTTTGGGTGTTTGAAATTAAAATGAGGGTTATTAGTTAATAGTCAATGAGGACATTCATATATTAAAGTTTAACTCAATGGTTATTAGCGAGCACTACCTTAATTATAGTCGGATTTGGACTTTTCTACTAATGAGATAATGAAATGGGCATGGATTTGGACTTCTCTACTAATGAGATAGTGAAATGAGTATGGGTTTAGTGTAAAACGCTAATACATTAATGGTATCTTTGGGTGTCTGAAATTACAATGGGATTTGGATTTCTCTAATAATGAGACAGTGAAATGGGCATGGGCTTAGTGTAAAAGTAATAAAATCTTTGGGTGTTTGAAATGGAATTTATGGCATAGGTGCAAAATTAATATGGCTTGAGTAGTATACCCTAACTTGATGTGAGAGTATAATTTAGTAAAGTTAATTATAATGTAGTTATGATAAATAAATATGGTTTAAATCACTTGAAGAAAAGAGATTCTTAAATAATAAAGAAGTCATAAAATTATCTTCATATAATTGAGAATTTTTCTCATGAATTTTAGAATTGGAGTTGATGTGTGTGGGTGGTCAAATTATAGTTGAGGACACATGTTCTCAGTATAGTAATTTGAGCTACTTCTCATGAATGTTAAAACAACCCAAGAAATTGGAAGTATACTTAAAGGATATATTAGCATTTTTATATTATGAAAAGATAGATCTAAGGGCAAAGTAGCCTATATGGAATAAAGGGGATAATTAAATATTAGAGTAACCATATTTATGGATAAGATATAAATACAAAAAGCTATATTCAAGTGATATAACACTTCAAAAGTAGTCATAAAGCTATACATTATAAGAAGTAAGTATAAAGGTTAAATGTCCTAAAGGTGTAGATTAAGTTTTGGACTAGGGTATATTGTGCCAAATTAAGGACTAAAACAATCATAAAATTCAAGTTTGAGAACATTAAGTGTCTTGTTAGTGGCATATTAAAGATGTGAAAAGATATTCACAGAATTAAACAACTTTTATGAAAAGCTACATTTAAGCATGATATCTAATATTGATTATATTTCTTAGTGAAAGATATGAAAAGAAAAATATTAAGGATAATTTGATAGAGTCAATAGTATGGAGATACTAAATATGTCATTAAATGATGCCTTGGATAGATTAAGGTGGTTTTGAGTATCCATAAAGCTCAAGGGTGCAATATTTCAAAATGCCATTCTGAAATCCCTAATGGTAGAAAGGTATAATAATTATTCTACTTATTAATCAAGGGTATAGCTATGTGGTGAAAAAGTCTTAAAGGTTAATAAAATTTAGTGGAAAGGTTTCTAGACCTTAGCTTAATAAATCTTGGTGAACATTGTCCTAATTGAAGGATGTTGGGGATTAAAGAAGAAAATATTCCTCTATATCTTGGGGCATCCTAAAGATGATCTTAAGGAGTGGTTATAAAATGATCACTTATGAAATGGATTATTTGGTTTTAGAAAGATGGGTTCGTGATATAGGTGGACTTGAATTAATAATGAGATAGTGAGAATAAACATAACTTTAATATTAGAAGCTAATATATTGATGATACCTTAGGGTGTTTGAAATAGGACTTATATATATAAAGCACTTATGTAATGCATTTTATCTATTTTCCCTTAAACCAACTAAAAAAGGGTAATTGTTTGATGAGAGAGCCCCTATTAACCCTTTAAAGTTTTAAGGATTTACAGTGATAATACTACAAACTAACACTTCTATTTCCACAAATTTTATTGATTGCATTTTCTAATGGTATTTTTCTTCAACTAACAAAATATTCAACTTGTGCTAAAGTGGTGGACAATTAATAAATCTCTTTTGGGCTCACCATATACAAGATTGGGTTGATAGAGGTGATAATATTTGAGACTTGTTATATCATCTCTTTCAACGCTCTCTTCTCCTGAAACTTTTATCATCTTTTATTTTCTTTTATTTGAGTTGGTAAATTTAATTATGAATTAGATGTGGTGTGATGTTAATCAGAAATTTTTTTTGATCAACCAAATCAGACAATCAGACAATTCCCCTCTTCTCCAAGTCTTCTTTATAGATAATTAATTTTTCCATTCTACTTTAATCATTTAATCACATATTTGACCACTTAAGGAGTTTTATATACCTCTATAAAACTCCAAAAGTGGCCTCAAAATTATATTAACCTTACATATTCAAATTGTATTGTATGTGATTAATGAAATGAAATTTAAATATACTGTTACAATGGATCCTTAAAACTCTGAGGGATATATAAAGATTAAATACCCTCTAAAGGTTATTTTATTAAAACATTATCTTTTTTTCAGTTGATTTAAAAGGAGAGAAATAGGATGTGCTATATATGATATTTGAGCAAATGATACAGGTTCAATTCCCATTGATTAGTTTTTACATAAAATAAAATATACTTTTGAGAAAACTATATTTCTACCTCTAAAATTAAAATCATATATATTAAGTATATCCATCTTGTAGGGCATCCATAAACAAAAGTATCCATGGTAGGACTACAAAATCACATGAAATAACTTGTTTATATAATGGAAGGATTAATAGATTCAATAGAATAACTTGTCTATATAGATTTATTATGAAAATGATTTAAGATTTATGAAAAGTCAAACAACATCTAATTAGACTGAAGTAATTTAATTTATTTCAATAAGTATGAAACATGAATAATTTTATATTTTTCTATGTGTTTAAGAGAAAAACTATAAATTACACATCATTAAGATGTTAATTTGAT